TCTGGCCACATCCAGTTTTGCATAATCTGAGTATCATCTGCACAGCTGGCCCATGCCACTCATGGTCAGAAGCTGCCCTATTTGTCCCTCAGCTGCTCCGACTGGGCCAGGGTGTCAAATCTGTTCCAGTACATGACTCCCCCTGACAAACAATTTTTTGTTCTTTTTTTTTTTTTTTGAGACAGAGTCTCGCCCTGTCACCCAAGCTAGAGTGCAGTGGCTCGATCTTGGCTCACTGCAAGCTCCGCCTTCCAGGTTCAAGCAATTCTCCTGCCTCAGCCTCCCAAGAAGCTGGGATTACAGACATGTGCCACCATGCCTGGCCGATTGTTTTGTATTTTTAGTAGAGACGGGGTTTCACCATGTTGACCAGACTGGTCTTGACTCCTGACCTCAAGTGATCTGCCCGCTTCAGCCTCCCAAAGTGCTGGGATTACAGGCATGAGTCACCGCGCCCAGCGACAAACATGACTTTTTGGTCTGCTGAGCTCCAGCTCTACCCTGCTTCCAAAGGGTCATCTAGAATGACTGAGCAGCATGGCTTGACCCCCCTATTGTGGCCAGAAGGTTAGTTTTTTCTTTTTCTTTTTTTTTTTTTTTTTTTTTGAGACAGGGTCTCACTCTGTTGCTCAGGCTGGAGTGCAATGGTATGATCATGACTCACTGCAGCCTCGAACTTCTGGGTGCAAGTGGTCCTCCTGCCTCAGCCTCCCTAGTAGCTGGGACTACAGATACGCATCACCATAAATGGCTAATTTAAAATTATTTCTTTTATAGAGATAGGGTCTCGCTATGTTGCCCAGGCTGGTTTTGAACTCCTGGCCTCAAGCAGCCCTCCTGCCTTGGCCTCCCAAGGTGCTGGGATTATAGGCATGAGCCACCACACCTGGCCAGGTTAGCTCTTTGAAGGGGAGCTTTTCTTAGCTGTGACTTTTCTGTGCTCCATAGTGAGACGCAGAAGAGGAGTCCTATCCAACCTTGGGCACTGGAAACTGGGGCATGGTCCCTACTTTGGGCATTCCCAGTTTAGGAGGGGCTATAGTCCACAACCTGTGTACACTCCCGCCTTGAGAATACTCCATGTCGGGCGGGCCCGATAGCTAATTCCTGTAATCCCAGCACTTTAGGAGGCTGAGGTGGGCGGATCACCTTAGGTCAGGAGTTCAAGACCAACCTGACCAACATGGTGAAACCCTGTCTCTACTACAAATACAAAATTAGCCAGGCGTAGTGGCACGTGCCTGTAATCCCAGCTACTTGGGACGCTGAGGCAGGAGAATCGCTTGAACCCATGAGGCAGAGGTTTCAGTGAGCCAAGATCGCGCCATTACACTCCAGCCCAGGCAACAAGGGTGAAACTCCCATCACATAAATAAATTAAATAAATAAATAAATAAATAAATACTTGATGTCAGCATGTCAACAACTTCAAACACAGGATAACCTACTGCATTAGGTTTCTGAGGCTGCTTTAACAAATTACCTCAAACTTAGTGGCTTAAAACCACAGAAATGTATTCTTTCACAGTTCTGGAGACCTGAAGTCCAAGTTCTGTTCCACTGGACTGAGATCAAGGTGTTGGCAGGGCCATTCTCTCCCAAGAGGTTCCTGGGGAGAGTCTGTTGCTTGCACTTCCAGCTTCTGGTGGCTGCTGGCACTCTTTGGCTTGCAGCCACATCGCTCAAGTCTCTGCCTCTGTGGTCATATCACTTTATCCTCTTCAGTGTGCATACATCTAATCTCCCTCTTCCTCTTTCTTATTTAAGGATATTTGTAATGGTATTTAGGGTCCACCCAGATAATTTTGGATAATCTCAAGATCCTTAATACATCTGCAAAACTTTTACTATACAAGGTAACATTTATAGGTTCCTCATCTTTGAGGAGCCATTTTTTAACCTGTCACTGCATCTCCTGACACACTCTGCTCCAGCCACACTGGCCTCTTTATCATTCTCAAACATGCCAGGCTCAATTGCCGCCACAGGGCCTTTGCACTGGCTGTTCCCTCTGTCTGGATTACTCTTACCTCAGATACCCACATGACTCACTCCCTCATCTCCTTCGTGTTTTTATGCAGATGTTAGTTTTTCATTGGGGGCCTCCCTGACATTTCCAATTGTATCCCCCACCCAGCATTCCTATCACTTTTCTTTGCTGTATTTTTCTCCTTGGCACTTACCACTGTTTAAACTTTCTCCCCAATGAGAAAATAAACTCAGAAGGGACAAGTGTTTGTGTTGTTTTATACATGGTTGTATGGCCAGTGCCTGAAACAGTACTGGGCACACAGTGTACATTCAGCCACTATTTGTTGATTGCATGAATGATGTACACTCAGAGCCCATCTGCAAGGAGGAGACACAGAGCAGAAGAGCAGTCAGCCCAAGGCAGACAAGTTAGGAAAGGCTCCCTGACAAGAAGAATGGGAATAGTTGGCCGGGCAGGCAGTCTTAGATTGGGAAACCAGGCTTGGAGGTTGGAGGTAAGAAAAAGGAGAGGGAGATGGGTTTGCTTGGGAGGACAGAGAGCCAAGGATGGAGAGCCCGTGGGATGAAGGGTCAGCTGGTGAATTCTATGGCCAAGGGTTGGGTGTTGACACAAAGCAATGGCCTTAGTAGTATAGTTTACACAAAGAATGCAGTGGTTGGTGGAAGATGTTGCTGAGCGGAGAGAGGTGGGGGTCACCTGCATTGAGAGAGGAGATGACCCTAGCTGCTATGATTTTCACATCCCTTTCTTTTTCTTTTCTTTCTTTTTTTTTTTTTCTTGAGACAGTCTTGCTGTGTCGCCCAGGCTGGAGTGCAGTGGCACAATCTCAGCTCACCGCAACCTCCACCTCCTGAGTTCAAGCAGTTCTCGTGCCTCAGCCACCCGAATAGCTGGGATTACAGGCACCCAGCTAATTTTTCTATTTTTAGTAGAGACGAGGTTTCACCATGTTTGCCAAGCTGGTCTCGAACCCTTGACCTCAAGTGATCCATCCGCCTCAGTCTCCCAAAGTGTTGGGATTACAGGCATGAGCCACCACCCGCAGCCTCACATCTTTTAAAGTCCTGTGCTAGCCTGCATTTCTCTTTCCACCCTCTCGCATATCCCAGAAGAGGTACTTGAAGAGTTTGCAAGAGATGTTAGTAGTACCCATGGCAGCCTGAACGTGGCTGTTTTTTCCTCTCTGTTATCACCCACCTATGAGTATAGTATCTTCCCTGAGGAAGGGAAATGGGCAGAATTGTCCCTTTAGCTTTTGTCATCCCTCTATAGCCTCTGCCACCTTCCAGGGACAACAGGTTTGCCTGGGGAGTGCGGGGCTCAGCTTTGATTAGTAGAGGTAGTGATCGTTAGAGTTGGTCCTGGAGCCTTGAGGGGAGGATCCTTTGTGTGTCTGCTGGGTGGAGGTGGCTGGGAGAGATGGGCTTCCTCCTCACTTTTCAGTGCATGCACCAGTCTTTTCTGAGGCTTTGTCTGGTAGCACCCTGGTTTAGAGAGACACGGGCATTTGGAAGTAGCTTTCCATATACTGACAGAGCCAGCTTCATCTTGAGGGCTTTAGGGTTTGTGCTGAAGATTTGGGCCTGAAGGATATGCCGTCTGCCCTTTTCCTAAAGAAGGGAATTGTGGGGAAATGGATCTCTGGATGCTTTATTTAGCATCTGTCAATTCCTCTGTTACCTACTTACTCGTGATGCTCATCAGAACAAGAAAGTTAGGGCAGTTGTCTCTCCCTGGCTATGTTGCATGGCCCGGTAAAGGTGCTGATCCATGAGCAGCTGGGAGAAGGAAGAGCCAGGGGGCCCCAATCCCCAGTGGCCCCTCTCCACTGCAGCTGTCACATACGGCCGTCTGCTCTCACAAGCTTGCTCAGACTCCCCCGCCGAGCTCCTCTTAGCAGCTGTTGGGTGGCGAGTAGTTGGGTTTTTTTTCCCGTCCTCCCCCTTTTCTGTTTGCAACAACCTCTCGGGGGAGGTCAGCAGATCTCTTGGAGGAGACAGTTCCCAGGCCCTCATGTTTTTGGCAGCCTGTGCTTGTGCACAGAAGTTAGAGAGGAACTGGTTCCACTGGAGCGTTCCCCCTTGGGCCCCTCCCTTGGAATGGAAGTAGGGATACTGGTGGTGGGGAGGGATCTGGGCCTCTTTGGTCTCATGCTTAGAGCCAACAGCTTCCTCCCTTGGGTGGGGGCTCAGGAAGTAGTCGTGCAGCTCTCCCTGCCTCCATCTTGGACATTCTGTCTTCGGTGCAGCAAGGGAGAGGAGATGCAGACTGAGGGCCCTGTTTTTATGAGGGCTGGGCAGGCCCAGGAGGAAAAGGAGTGATAAGGCCAAGAGGGATCAGGAATCAGGGCTGGATTCAGAACTGTGGCTCTCTCCTTTCTGAAAATGTCTCCTTCCTGCTTATTTGCAGCCGGGGTGGGGGTCAGGGGAGCAACACTTACTCCATGTGCAGGGAAAAATGAGGCACTGCACTATATAGGAGTCCCCTGCTTTGGTCAAGGGACCTACGTTGACCTTTTTCCTGTTTTGCCAGTTAATAATCCCTTAATGCACTCCTATACATTAACTTGTTTTTATTGAGCTCCCAGGAACCTGGGCCTGTGCTAGACATGTAGAGGGCGAGAGAATAAAGAGTGCAGTGATTCCCTGAGCCTGAGCCTATATTCTCTTGGAGCTGGTTGGGATAGGAGTGGCAATACTTGTCCTCACCACTGAGGATCAGCTGGAATAACTGGGATATCATACATGTATAGTACTCAGAAAAGAGTAAAGAGGAGGTTGGCCCTGTTGGGTCATCAGGGAACGTTTGCTGGAGGATGTGAACTGGGAAGGAGGCAGTGCAGGTGGAGAGGCCTGAAGAAGAACACCGACTGAGAGTGTTCAGAGGTTGATGAGCAGAGGAGAGAAGGGCTCAAAGGGCCATCACCTCTACCCAGAAAACAAGTGTGCCTATTCCCCAGTGCCTGCCGAAGAAGCTGCTCTGTCTCACTGTGTTTCTCTCCCTGCAGACGCCCCTGTCTTGGCAAGAGCTAGAAGGTGAGCGTGCCAGCTCCTGTGCACACAAGCGCTCAGCATCCTGGGGCAGCACAGACCACCGAAAAGAGATTTCCAAGTTGAAGCAACAACTGCAGAGGACAAAGCTGAGCCGCAGTGGGAAAGAGAAGGAGCGAGGTTCCCCACTCCCAGGGGACCACGCAGTGCGGGGAGCACTGAGGGTATGTTTTCTCCCCAGCCCTCTCCCCTTTGTTCTCCTCCATGCAGGCTCCCGATGTGGGCAGAGGTTTCCTGGATCTTGGAGCTGCCAAGCCCCCTACCACACTGCATGCTTTGTGAAGTTTTAGTCCAAACTTGGTCTTGCTGTGTGATATTGGAAGGGCTTCTTACAGTTCTGAATCTCCCTCTCTCTTCTACCCACATCCCCATATGATAGACGCAACGACTCCACAGCACACAATAGACTCTGCAAAGCTCAAACTTTTGGAGAAAACTACGCTGAGTGGACCTATTGCAATTGTAACTGTCCCCAAATCACCCTTCATTCACTCAA